AAGTTTACCCTAGTCACTTTGGGAAATTCGACCATAGGGATAAAAATAAGTAAAAACTGTTGAAATTTTTTCTATGGTCTAGAATTGATATTAGATGTGTTCTACATGCTTTGGTGATTGAGCTGGACTAATTTGGAACCTTAAGATAGTAAAAGGACCATTTTTGCAAGTTTTGGAAATTACGAGACATTGATGAGAAAGTGTGCAATTATGAGCATTCAATAATTAAATGTTAATAATAATTAATTATTGAATGTTGAATTTTAAGTTAGAATGTTGAATTGGGACCAAAGTGCAATTTTGGTGAAATTCTAGTGGAATTCGAATGGTCATGGAATGTAGGGACTTGATTGCAAATTTGTAAATGTGAAAGCACTAGTTGAGTAGGGAATTACAATGTTGGAAATTTTAGTGTTTGATTTGAGATAAATGGAAATGATGAAGGATCAATTTGAGTTAAATGGAAATGTTGTTGTGAATTCTAAAAAGAATTCATAAAAGTGATTTAAGTGCAAAGTTTATGAAAGTTGAAGGGTTAGTGATGAGAATGAATATTTATGGAATTGATAATTGTTTTTGAAAAGGTTGAAGTAATTATGGAATAGTGATTCGGTTTTATATCGATTAAGTATCGATTTTTATTTTATAGAATTTTATGTTATAAAGTTTAGATTATGTTAGTATAAAACTAACATATAGTTTGAATACTTTGTGTTATGTATGTGATGTCATACATACTACGACAAACCTTACGATCCTAGCGATTCAAAAGGGAAGGAAAACACACACGAGTAAAAGCATATTGTATACAAGGTTCAGTAGTAAGGAAAATGTGAGAGCAATTTATTTATTTATTTATTCTGATTGAGGAAGACTTGCGATGAGTCAACCTCGTATTATTTTTAAAATATGATTTAATTCTGAATATGGAATATTTCTGTAATGATTATACAAAGGTTTTATGAATTTTTTAGGGTATGAACTGCCCAAGTAATGGTTTTGATAATGATGATTTAGAAATGATTCTGTTTTGGAAGTGTTTGATTTAAATGAATATGATATGATCTGAAAGCTCATTATATGTTGCATTAAGAGTCGTAGGTATATTTGACATGCAATAAAGTTGAGTAATTCTGATTCCAATCTGGTACATTTGTGTACATTATGTATTGCATCGTTGGTGCAAATGATATAATTGCACTTGGAGTACAAAAATTTGATTCTGATGATAGCACCTGGAGTGCTTAGTGCGCAAATATGTTTGACTCACTTACCTTGCATTCTCTTAAATATACATTGGGCTATGAAAATGAAATAAATAAGTTCTCAAATGTCTGAATGGAAAAATATATGAAATAATTATTATGTCAGATATTGATTATCATGATTTTGTTCTTATGTCTGATATTGATTATCATGATTTTTACAAAATCATGAGATGGTGATTTTCAGGTTTCTGATGAAGAAAATGGCTTGAATATCGGTTTGAAAGTCCTATGATTTTATTTGAGTTATATTTTAATGTTTTGACGTATTTATGATATTTTTAAGTTACATCTCACCTTAAATTATTACCGTCTCACTAAGTTTATCTTACGCGTGATGGTTTTTATGTGTAGGTTCAGATAAAGAAAATGATGTGAAATGAGGAGACTCCCAATCATCTTTTTGAAAATAGTATCTACCGACCATATCAGTAAGACATTTCTGATGTTCTTTTGACTTTTTAGTGGCATGTATATTATATATGTTTGTTTGTTTTGATGGATTTATTTAAAATGGTATGTAATAGTAAATTAGGACAATTCTATTTTGGCTATCCTTAACTATATCTGAAAATATGAATGAATAGTGTATATATATTATGGTAAACATATATTTAAATAGTTTTTAAACTAAACAATGTTTAGGCAGTTTTATTTAGTTTATGAAACAACATTAAGCTGTCCAATTGATGATTAAAATCAATTTTGTTTTGGATAATAAAATATTATTTTATAAATATACGCGATTAATTAAATAGTTTTAAATTGTTAAATGAAAGTTTCATAATGAAACATAATTTTAAAGGGTTATGTACGAAGAATGTTTGAAATGTTAATATAACATCTTTAACTCGTATTTTGAGAAGTACATGGGTTATGGGTGTGACAAAATTAAATATTAAAAGATGAAGGTTGGATTAGATTGTTAAGTAAGAAATGTTCAACTTGCTGAACCACCCTTCCTTTATTTGGGATTTAATTACAAGTTAATTCTGAATCATACAAAGATTCTTACGAAACCTCCCAGCTAAGGAGATTTGCCTTTCATCATTCTTCCTATTGTTTATTTCTTTTACTGCCTATTGAAAATTCAGTGGCTTTTTGTTCCTTTTGTATATGTTTTATCTGCCTCAAATATTCTATATTTGTATAATATGTATCAAAGATCAATGGAGAATATATGCATAATACATTGCATTATATAATACAATAATCAAAGTTTGATATTTGGTAATTGCAGACAACAGCCCGTGCCAGGCAGCCATGGATATCTCCTTGGAGCTTTACATTGGTGTCTCTCTCTTACAGATTTTGTTCTCAACTCATTCCATTTCATGCAAGCTGCTAACTTCGAGACAAAGCTTCGACAATCTGTCTGTGTTTCCTTCCGACTTTCTCTTCGGAACAGCCTCTTCTGCATATCAGGTTTGTCTAACTCATCTTTAATCCCATGAAGAATGAACATTTTTTTTGGTCTTTTTTGTTTGTTTGATAAATTCTGGGTTTTTGGGGGTTGAACAAAACAAAAATCTGGGTTTTGACAGTACGAAGGTGGATACTTGAGTGATGGTAAAGGCTTGAACAACTGGGATGTCTATTCTCATAAACCAGGTATCTCCATTTCCTTCCACCTTTAGAAGCACCATTCTTGTTTTGCTTGGTGCTTGGTGCTTGGTGCTTGGTGCTTGGTGCTTGGTTTTAGTACGGTCAAATTCCATAAAAGATCTCTCTACTATTGGTTGTTTCGAAATTTAGTCCCTACTTTATTTTGATCACAAATTTTTTAATAAATATTTTTTGTCAAATGATTTTTTCTTTAATTCCGTAAAATAATTTAATATGCTTATATATATAAGGATTAGTATTGTTTTAAAGTTTAAAATTTAATTTTTATATATATTTTTGTTTGCCCACTCGATTCAAAGGCTTTGCTTTGACTACTTTGAATCGACTTGCATTACACATCTGGCTTTGGTGGGTGAATCCCCCAATAAGGAATTTTTGCATACACAATGAATCAAAATCTAGACCTTACTTAAGTAATATCAAGATGATTATCGCTTGAACCAACCGATTATACTTTAATTTTTATGAACTAAGTCTTTAAATTATTTTAATTATAAAACCTTGATCACGCATTAAATTTTATATTAGTTATTGATGTGATAATTATCAAAAAATAGTTTTTAAATTTATATTTTTTTAAATTAAGTATTTAATATTTAAAAATATAATAAAAATTAATATATTCTATAAAATCCTTAAAAATAGAAAAGGAATTGTTGAATTTATTTTTCTAAAACTATAAAATATATAAATCAAATTGTAAAGACAAAAACTATAAAATGTAATAAAAGTTCTAATCATTAGTACTTAAATTAATTGAATAAATAGTGTTTTGGACCCCCAAAATATTCTATTGGAATTGATTTTCGAATCCCAAATTATTTCATCTTTTTTTTTTAATTTGTACATTGTAATCAATTTATTAAAATAAAGAAAAAGACAACCCTACATATGATATAGAGGGCCAGAGGTGTTAATTTCGCGAATTGGATTGGGTGGGGTTTAGATGAGTTTATATATTGAGTTAATTATATTGTATATCCTTAAATTATGACTTATTCTAAATTGGTCTTTAAACTTTTAAATATTTTAATTTTATCTTCAAATTATAACTGTCATTCCAATTTAGTCTTCAAACTTTAAACCTTTTAATTTCATCTTCAAACTATGACCATTATTTTAAATTGATCCTTAAACTTTTGAACATTTCAATTTCATTTCAAACAACAACATATTCTAATCACATCTTATGTTAATAAAATTGTTAGGACAAGCTATATTATTATATGTTTGAAAAAGAAATTTTAGGTTAAACTATGGTTGGAACTAATTATATATTTTGATGAATTTGGGAATGGAATTAAAAGATTCAAAAGTTTGAGGCCCAATTTAAATGAGAGTATAGTGTAAGGATAAAATTGAAAGATTTAAATAATTTGATGGTTTGTTTGATCAAATTGAAATATCGGTGGTCAAAATAATTTTTGATCCTAGTTGAGTGGTCATCCGTGTAGTTTACCCTATAATAAATATAATATAATAAAAAAATATGGACGCAATCACAATTTAAATTCCTGATGATTGTGTGTCATGACACTCGACTCATCGGTTGCGACTTAAGAGTAATAAATTGGAATGATCATTTTACGTAGCATATCATTGTCGGTGATGCTTTCATGTAGGAAGACATTGATCTGATGCATTCGCTTGGAATCAAAAGCTATCGGTATTCCATTTCTTGGGCCAGATTTTACCTAGTAAGTCTTCTGAAAGTGTCATTTATGATCTATGAAAGGCTAAGTACGAGTTAACGGAAACCAGACTTGTAATCAAAACAGAAGGGAGATTCGGGAAAATCAACGAAGCCGGTATTGAGTTCTACGATAACCTTATCGATGAAGGATCATTTTCCTTTTTCAGATGACTATTCTTAAGTTTTTCTAGGAAAATGCCGTGTCTTGACGTTTTCGACACTTTCTGCAGGCATTCAACCGTTTATAACACTGACCCACTTCGATTGTCCTCAAGAAATTGAAGACAGATATGGAAGTTGGCCGAGTCCTCAATCACAGTAACTATATTGTTCAAGTTTCAGCTCTGAAAATGGCATCCCACATTGGCAATTAACACTCTTGGTTTCAATCTCAGGGAGGATTTTGCATACTTCGCAGACATCTGCTTTAAGTCCTTTGGAGACAGGGTGAAGTATCGGGTCACCTTCAATGAACCGGATTTCCAAGTCAAGTTCAGGTACCATACGGCTACGTTCCCACCGTAGCGTTGCTCCAGGCCATTCGGGAATTGTACTTCCGGTGATTCAGAGAAGGAGCCGTTTATAGCAGCCCACAATATCATCCTAGCACATATGGCAGCTGTTCATATCTACAGAACTAAATATCAGGTACCAATTAATGCATAAATATCTAATTGTTAAGGCAATGTGAGCTTAATATACAAGCAACAACATTTCTGCTTTTAATCTCTAGGAAGCACAAGGAGGTAGCATCGGAATCGTCCTGCAATGCTCTTGGTACGAACCAATCAGCGACTCTATAGCCGACAAGCTAGCAGCCGAAAGAGCTCATGCCTTCACCATCAACTGGTAGGTTTCTTCACTACTATCTTCTTCGACTTCATTACAAAAGAGGCCATGGTTCGAGGAATCAAGAATGTATTGTATATGTTGAGATGCATCTGATACCTACTAAACTTACATACAGGTTCCTAGAGCCAATCATATTCGGTAGATATCCTCCTGAAATGAAAAACATTCTAGGATCTATTTTCCCCGTTTTTTCAACAACCGAGAAGCAGGAGCTGAATAAAGGGCTCGATTTCATCGGAATCAACCACTACACCAGTTACTATGTCCGGGATTGCATGTTCTCCGAGTGTGAACCAGGAAACGGAACCTCAAAGACGTAAGGATTTTCGGGATAAAGCTCATAGAAAAATAGCATCCCTATAGGACAGCCTGCAAGTAACCTAAATGTATGATATCACAGCCATGTTGCATCTTAAGCTAAGCTAACAACTGAAGCCTTTTAACTATGAAGGGTGAGTTAGTTTGGCAGAATGTTTATCCTCAAGGACTGGAGAAGATTCTAACATATCTTAAGGAGAAATACCCTAACATTCCTATGATCATTACTGAAAATGGTGAGAGAAACAAAAATCTGTCACTTAAACGCGAAAAAGAACTTACCTATGTACTTATGATGTATGGTGTTCCACGTAGGATATGGTAACAAGGTTAAAGCAGAATCCACCACTGAAGAACTTTTGCATGATGTGAAACGAGCAGTACATTTCTGCAAACTTGGATGCTCTGGCAACAGCAATCAGGTAAACATTCGTTCGACAATAATAACGGTGCCAACTGAACTAAGACTAGGTCGGCATATTGAGGTGACAGAACATAAGAGATTAATGTAGTTCTCTTGAATGCTATTAGGGAAGGAGCAAACGTGAAAGGTTACTTTGCCTGGTCTTTGCTAGAGAACTTTGAATGGAACAGTGGATGGACATCATCATGTTGACTATAAGACCTTAACGAGAACACCAAAATTGTCAGCAACTTGGTACAAAAATTTCTTGGAGACCACTAAACTATGGTAAAAAATTAATGTGACCACAGAATTTTTAATTGAATCAATTAGACCACCCAAATATTTAATTGATTCAATCAAACCACCAGTCGTTAATTTTTAACAGAGGTGGTAACGTGTCCGTTAATAAAATTGGCATAATATATATTTGATCTTTAATATTTACATATTCTATCAATTTAGTCACTATTTTAATCCAATTAAATAAATTTAACTATCCAATTAAAACGTGACACGTGTCAATATATGATTGGAAAATTTTATTTATGAATTTTAAATTAATTAATTAAACAATTTTTTCTATCCAATCAGTCACTACCAAATTGAAATGAAAATAAAGGGATAATCTTGTGCTTAAGTAGAATTAAACTAGGGTCATGGTCGGGATAGAGTACCTAGGCGCCCAAACCATTGGGCCAAAGATCCCCAATGGTTTTAAGTTACAACAATTTGTATTTGTCTTTTAAAGGTTTATTAAGGATAAAAATTAAATAAATTATTCACGACTAATTATTATTTAAATTAATTGTAATTGTTTTTCTGAATTAAAAAATATTCAATTGTTATAAATTAGAATTTTTTAAAAAATTTCGGTTAATTCAAAAATTTACCGAATTAACTGAAATTTGTTCGGTTCAGTTAATAATTTTCAAATAAATTTTAGTTCAGTTAACGATTAAAGAAAAAATTCAATTAATTCGATTCAATTGGTGACCGAATTAATAATTTGAACACACGTAGTTGTAAACTTTAAAAGACAAATAATTTGTTTAATTTTTTATCCTTAACAAAGAAGGAAAGAAAGAAAATTTGTTATTGACCTCCCAACCGTCAGTGAGTGAAAATTTTGTTCCCTGAGATTCATTAACCGATTCAATACAATCATCTTTGCAATCACATCCGGGGCATAGCCAACCCTCATCATCTGGAGGAACTGTAACACAGAAAGAGGATCAAAAGTAAAGTATTATCAACATTAAAACAATTCAAAACCCAATATGCCAAATTAGTAATATAAACTAGGCAATGAAGAGCATTACTGTCTTCCTTTAGCAAAGGCGGATGCAAGCAATATTGATGGAATCCTTGGTCACAAGCACCATCAGATAGTATGATATCATTGTTGGCAGGGTGGTCCTTCGACCCGCATTTCGCGCAAAATATCTGCAATTATAGGATTTCATGTCTAAGCATTTCTAGTTCCAAGACTCAAATTATTATCATCAATGAGAATTACAAGGTCATGACCTTTGGGAGGTTGTCGGTGGTGGTGAAGTTACACAACCGGCGGCAGAAGATGCCAATGGCAACTTGCGAAAGTGAAAAAATTAAAGCAGACAAAGCGATGTTTACTTTAAAGACCACAATTGAAGAAGAAATGTTGGAGCACATCCGGGATGCTAAAACACAAGAAAGCATATGACACTTTTGTTACACTCTTTTCAAAGAAGAATGATACACGATTGCAACTTCTCGAGAATGAGTTACTATCAATGGCTCAACGCGACATGACAATTGCTCAATACTTTCACAAGGTAAAATCGATATGTCGTGAAATTTCAGAGTTAGATCTGCCAGCTCCTATTAGGGAAACCAAGGTAAAGATAATAATTATCCATAGTTTGAGACCCGAATATCGAGGGTTTGTTGCCGCTGTTCATGGATGGCCGACACAACCATCGCTTGTTGAGTTCGAAAATTTGTTTGCATGTCAAGAAGCCATGGCCAAGCAAATGAGAGAAGTCTCGTTGAAGGGTGAAGAGGAAGCGTTCTACACCAGCAAAAGCAGAGGCACTCTTTAGCGGTATACTGGCAGTGGAACTAAAAAGGATGGTGATAAGGTGAAAATTTACCAAGGAAAGGGAGGCATTCATTCAGGGGAGCTTCCAAAAATCGCGGTAATAGTAGAAAGTTTGATGGCAAGTGTTACAACTACGGGAAGATGGGTCACATGGCAAAAGACTGTTGACCAAGAAAAAGCATGTTGAAAGTAATACTGCTACTTCCAGCTCGAAGGAGAATAGTAAAGATGATTGGGATGCTGAAGCGTTATTTGCTACGGAGGAAGAAGAATTAGCTCTCACGGTAACAACACCAGAACGGACTGACTACAAGAATGATTGGATTGTGGATTCGAGCTGCTCAAATCATATGACGGGTGACAAACAGAAGTTGCAAAACCTATCTGAGTACAATAGAGGTCGTGTGGTGGTGAGAGCTGACAACTCAAGGTTACCGATAATTCACATTGGTAAGAGGATAGTTACACCTTGAAATAATTCTAACCAGGTGCAACTTCAAGATGTTTACCATGTCCCAGGAATGAGGACAAATTTTCTATCTGTGGCTCAATTGACATCATCAGGTCATTATGTCTTATTTGGTCCCCAAGATGTGAAGGTTTATCGTGACCTCAAAATCTTAGAAACACCAACAATGGAGGGACGACGTTTAGAGTCAATCTACTTGATGTCAACAGAGTCTGCATATGTAGACAGGACAAGAAAAAATAAGACATCAGATCAATGGCACATGCGGTTAGGTCACGTTAGTTATTCCAAGCTAAGTGTGATGGTAAAGAAGTCGATACTTAAGGGGCTTCCTCAACTAGACCTGAGAACATACACGGTCTGTGCGGGAAGCTAGTATGGTAAAACACATCAATTACCATATGACGAGACAAAGTTTAAAGCAAAAGAACCGTTGGAATTAGTTCACTCTGGTATGTTCGGATCAGTTAAACAACAGTCAATTAGCGGTATGCGGTACATTGTAACATTCATTGATGACTTCTCCAGGTTTGTATGGGTTTTCTTTATGAAAGAAAAATCTGACACATTTTCAAAGTTTAAAGAGTTCAGAGAGTTAGTTGAAGGAGAAGTAGGAAAGAAGATATGTTGCTTGCGCACAGACAACGGAGGAGAATATAGCTCAATCGAGTTCTCTCAATACCTAAGGGAATACCGAATACGTCATCAGTACACTTGTGCCAACACGCCACAACAGAATGGTGTAGCGGAAAAAAAAACTTACATCTTGCAGAAATTTGTCGAAGTATGCTACATACAAAAAAACGTACCGGAAAAGTTTTGGGCTGAAGCAATGAAGACTGATGCCTTTGTGATTAACAGACTTCCTCAACCAAGGTTAGGATTTGTTTTACCTTTTGAGAAACTATGGAACATGAAACCTACATTTAGCTACTTTCGAGTATTTGACTGTGTATGTTATGTGTTTGTTCCTGATCATTTACGTAGTAAGTTTGACAAGAAAGTTGTTAGATGTATCTTTGTGGGATACGACAACCAGAGAAAGGGATGGAAATGTTGTGATCTAATGAGTGAAAAATGATACACATCACGAAATGTGGTATTTGATGAAGCATCTTCTTGGTGGTCCTTAGAGAAGGAGATGTTGACAGACTTGAGAGAATTTGGAGACAAGCTGCCATTTGTTGTTAACTTATGTATTTGATTTGCTTTGTCGTGTGCTACATAGCTACATGCATACACATATTTATATACAACTTTGCAGCCTAATAAGATAATATAAATATACATTTAATAATGTCAATCAACTTTATTCTATAAGAAAACACAATAAAACATATTATGAATCACATGGCCATTAAATAAAACATATAAAACTCTCAGTAGAGGGTAAAATGACGTTAATAGCCTTTTATCCATCAAACTTTTGTCTTTTCTTCAATTTTATTGCATCAAAATGATCTACTCGTGTGTTGGATCTCCAATCCATTCCATTAAAACTCACGGCTATCCCCATTTCTCAAATTATGTATATAGATATAATCAATATAATAAGATAATAATAATTTTATTTGTCTACGATAAGATAAGATTAATAAGTTTCAAAATAATATTAATAATAATCAACGAGGTTATTCAAGTGATAAATAGTTTGATATTACTTAAACAAGTCTTTATTTCGAGTTTTTATGTATGTAAAAAATCTGCATTGGGAGAATAACCCCTCAAAACTAGGTATGTGACTCAGGTGGATCCAAATTAGTCAGAACAAAACCCATAGGGATCCGGAAGGACAACAAAAAAGAATATTAATAAAAACTAGTTTGAGGGGGTTTTCCCCCTCTCATGGAAAAGAAGAATTTAAAGGCTCCTAAAATAACATCGTTTTGGGATGATTGTATAGACCCAAAACGACGTCATTTTGGTAGACGAGCCGTTACCTATCCCAAAGCTTGTTAGGATCTTCGTGTTTTTAAGTAAATGGGTAAATTCTATTTTTGACCTTTCCAATTTTTAATGTGCATTCAATTTAGTCCAAATCACATTATTTATATGTTTATTGTCTTTTAATTTTTTTTTTTTTTGCAATTAGCTTTTAGGCTCATAGCTAATTAATAATTCCATATTTAGTTTGAGATTTGGTTCA